CCGGCGATGTCATGGTGTACAAGAAGGACACCACCCTTGGACAGACCAAGGAGTTCGATGCCCAGATCCAGGTCCTGGACATCCCCAACGAGATCAAGGTGGGCTACTCCCCCATCGGCTTCGTGCGCTGCGGACGTGCTGCCTGCCGTGTGTCCGCCCTGAAGTGGAAGATGGGAAAGGAGACCGGCGGCAAGAAGATGGAGGACCCCCACTCCCTGAAGTCCAACGAGATGGCTCAGTGCAGCTTCCAGCCCCAGCAGCCTCTCGTGTGCGACACCTTCAAGAACTGCGAGGGTCTGTCCCGGGTTGCTTTCATGGATGGCAACGGTGTCGTGATGCTTGGAAAGGTGGTGAGCTGCGAGCGAAAGGGCGAGGACGACAAGGGTGGCAAGAAGAAGTGAACGTTTATAGTCGTCGAACTTGGATCGCCCTTGGGCCTGTTGGTGTACGGTTTGAGACAAAAGACTGTCCTGTGCCGAGTTTGTTTGGGCATGTTTGAAGAGTTCGGCTTTGTAATGTGGCGCAGGCGAGAGTGATGAGTGGTCAGCGTGGTTTTGCATGTCACAGACAAGCGATGAGTGGTCAGCGCGGTTTTGCATGTCGCAGCCAAGCGAATCCATGCCTGCAAGGTGCTTACTGGCTCTTACATTCCACACTCTGCCCTGCAAACCGAACACTGACCAGTGAACAGGCACTTGAACATCTCGACAATGCTCACGTTTGGCTCTCCCCGATCGCCTTGTCCATCTCCACCATTGAGTTGCAGTTGTTCCACTACTGTGTGTCGCTTCCGGGGCCAGAAAGTCTTGGCACTGCAGCACCCGACTCCCACGACGCTGGTGGCCGCGCTGTTGAGGGTGCCAACCGGCATTTGTCGCATTTGTCGCTTGCCCGGCAAGTCACTTCCTCGACGCCTCAGCCCTGCTCTATCAATGCTGGTTGTTTCGGTGCTGAGTTTCGGTCGGAGCTTCGGAATATGGCCCTGGACAGTTTCGGATCAGAACATGGTCAGTTTCGGTCTCACACCATGGTCAGTTTCAGGCCCAGGCCTGCAAGAATCGGACTGAAACTGCCCACATCGCTCCTCGAAGCTGACAGACCCACTTCCCGATGTAAGTGACCATGATGCTGCTGTCACAACTTCGATGGCGCATCACTTTTCTTGAGTCCATGGTCTCAGTTTACCGGGCCACGCGTACCAGGCGCACTCTGCTGGGCCCGCCGGGCGGCGGCAGCAGCGGCGGAACACGTCTCTATGTCGGCGCACGTGCCGGCTTCACCTCGCCTCGAAAGGTATCCGATGCTGGTCTCCAACACGAGTTGGGAACCGCGCCGCGGCGGCGCGGGAGCAGGCCTTGAGAGCAATTCCATTGCGCTCGCGAAGTCGGTTGTGTAACTGCGCATCAGCCGATAAGCCGAAAAGCCGATCGGCTGATCACCTGGACGGCTTGCACTCCAGGTCAAGACTGGGTGATCGGCTGATCGGCTTATCGGCTAGTCGGCGAGTTGGGAACAGAGCATTCATGCCCAAGGCCAAGACCTAATAAATGACGTCCATGGTCTAGTGTGAGTTGGGAACAGAGCATCCAGGCCCAAGACCTAATGACGTCCATGGTCTAGTGCTGTTTGGGAAGAAAAACTCCCATTTCAACGCCTGGTGACGTCCATGATACTGCAATTTGAGAACAGAAATGAAAAGAGCACCCGGGTCCAAGACCTAATGACGTCCATGGTCTAGTGCGACGGCTGTTCGGCTGATCGGCTGGATCATGTCCACGGCCTAATGACGTCCCGGTCTACTGGGACAAGAGCTCCCATGTCCAACGCCCGATGACGTCCATGGTTTAGTGCGATTCGGGCACCATCCATGCCAACCCCTGACGACATCCCATGGTCTGGTGGGAAAAGAGCTCCCATGTCCAACGTCTGATGACGTCGATGGTCTACTGCGATTCAGGAACCACCCATGCCCAAAACCTAACGACGTCCACGGTCTACTGCGATTCGGGAACAGAGCATCCATGCCCAAAACCTAGTGACGTCCGTGGTCTACTGCGATGTGGGAACAGAGCATCCATGCCCAAGACCTAGTGACGTCCGTGGTCTACTGCGATGTGGGAAAAAAATCATGTTCAAAGCCTCGTGACGTCCATGGTCTAGTGCGATTCGGGAACAGATCACACCATGCCCAAACTTAATGACGTCTATGGTCTAGTGCGGCCTCAGGACGTCCATGGTGTCCTGCTCTTCGGGAAAAGATCTCCCATAGAGCACCCATGTCCAAGACCTAATGACGTCCATGGTCTAGTGCGACGGCTGATCGGCTGATCGGCTGGATCATGTCCACGGCCTACGTCCCAAGTCTACTGCGAGCTCTCATGTCCAACGCCTGATGACGTCCATGGTCTACTGGAAAAGAGCTCCCATGTCCAACGCACGATGACGTCCATGGTCTATTGCGATTCGGGAACCATCCATGCCAACGCCTGATGACATCCATGGTCTATTGGGAAACGAGCTCCCATGTCCAACGTCTGATGACGTCGATGGTCTACTGCGATTCAGGAACCACCCATGCCCAAAACCTAACGACGTCCACGGTCTACTGCGATTCGGGAACAGCATCCATGCCCAAAACCTAATGACGTCCGTGGTCTACTGCGACGTGGGAACAGAGCATCCATGCCCAAAGCCTAATGGCGTCCGTGCTCTACTGCGATGTGGGACAAGAGCTCTCATGTTGCCAAACCGTGCTACGCCGATCAGCCGATAAGCCGATAAGCCGATAAGCCGATCAGCCGATAAGCCGATCAGCCGATAAGCTGATCAACCGATAAGCCGATCAGCCGAGCAGCCAGCCTTGACCACCTGGAGCGCAAGCCGTCCAGGTGATCAGCCGATCCGCTTATCGGCTTATCGGCTGATCGGTGTTTGTCGGCTTATCGGTTGATTGGCGTAGCACGGTTTGGCGCCCAGATCCCACGCACACTGATTCCATTTGACTGCGCTGTTCATTTGAGATCAGAACCTCGAGGTTCGTGCTTGTGTGCAGCTTGTGTACCTGATGTGACCGGCGATCTATTTGCAAGCCTCGCGGCATATCCGCACAGCCGTGTGCCCCGGCTCAGCAGATGTTTTTTCCGGGTGCGGATTGCCATTTCCATGTCTCACCCCGTTGCTTCAGCAGGATTTGCCGAACTTCGATTTGGACTGGCGTGCAATGCACGTCGGGTCACATGCAGTTGGATTAATTTCGCGTGTATGCCCGCGTGTGTGCACGACAAGCGCGAACAGCTGTAGCGCACGCGCATTTTCCCCATTCTGTTACGGGTGTTGACGCCCACACCCGCAACATGTGAAGTGAAGATGGGGTTCGCTTTTTTCAAGGCGACACAGCGTTCCATGTCAGCGACTTTTTCGGCGCCACAACTGTGCAGCTGTTGTGCCTCCTCAGCGAAAGCGGATTGCCGCCCTCCGTTGTGTGCAATCTGGACTCCGGCCGGTCGCCTGCCAACGCTCTTGTGCAGCTTGCTCCTTGAGTGGAGACAAGGACCCCTCACCATATCCGGCCAGACAAGTTAGCTCTGGACTCTATCTCTCACGCGCTGTGACAAACACACTCGCAATGGCAGGTTGTTTCAGCTCGGGCCACCAGGACAGCACAACTCGGGCTGAATCGAAGCTCCAACAATCCACCAGCAAAGGCCAGCATCAAAACCTCCAGAATCATGGTAGCCAAAGCTTGCACATACACGAGGGACAAACATCAAAGCCATATTACAGCATGAGCTTTCAATCTTCCCAGACTCACTTTACGAAGCCATAAAGCGGGACGTACAGCGGGACGTACAGTAGTTGAAAGAGGTTGAAAGTTCGTGTCAGCCCGATTAAATACGTTTGCTGCAACTTGTGCTGCATATGAAGCCCTGCGCACATACGCCAGCCAGCAAGCCGGCAGGATCAGCCTTGTGATCGCAAAAGCATCGAGTGCCCAATGGACATGGCTGCCATCTGCGAGCGTCGCACAAATGTCCGCTTGCACCGCACTTCCGCAACCGGCGGCAGTCGTACTGACGCACACGTTCTGACGTTTCACGTCGCACAAGGAGATGGCGGCGAACAAAACAACCATTTGCTCAGATGACTTGGCCCGTCCTAACCGCCGTATCTTCAGCAAGGACCACGCAGGACGCAGGATAGGTACGTAGATGCTGTGCTCTGGACCAAGATATTCCAATCGCCTTTGCGACGTACTTCTTCAAGCCTCACAGCCCATTATGTCATATCCACTTTATTTTTTGTCCCTTCCTGACGGTGTGATCTCCGATTCGGGAGGTCTGGGAGATCCATGCTACATAAAAATGCGGAGAGCCGCCCGGCACAGTGCGGCCAGCCTTCCCCCACTCCTCCGAGCCGCTGCCTGCGCAGGCTGGGTTCCGCGCTGGTCGGGCTTCCTTGCGGTCGCCGAGGCGTCCCTCCTTAAGCTACCGCCTGGAGGTGATCTTTGCAGAGCTGGAGACGCGCCCGACCTCCGCGACGTCCTCGCCGAGGTCCGAGGCGGCCCGCCGCTCGTAGCTAGCCGCCTGCCGGCGCCCTGCGCCTAGCCAGCCCGTAGACCGCGCCTTCACGTGCACTGGAACCACTAGTACCGTTCGAGAAGAGGCGTGTGAAAAAAAAGAAGCGGCCAAATGTGGCCAAGCATGCGCCGATGTGTTAACGCGTTGGAGAAAGGTCGCTGCCAGAGCATCGGCGCGGGCATTAAGAACCCTGAGCGCTCGTGTTGTAGTGTCGCTCTGATGTTTGTCTCGCTTGCACCCTGCTGCCCTACCCGTGGAACTTTGTATTTGCTCCCCGAGAAATAAATGCCATGGGGAACATGCCTCATCGACGTTTGTGAAATCAGGTATGAACAGCCCCCTCCAAAAACAAGAACTTCCGCAATCAGCAAAAACGAAAATACAACCAACTAGCTGCCGCTTCAACGTCGCCATCAACCGAGTATGTCCAACAAGGAAGGCGGAACCCAAGAACGCCAATGCAGACACCAACAAGCGAGCCAACACCGCGAAGCACTATTTACGTTGGCTTGGGAAGCGTTCGAGCTCCAGCAGCTCCAGCTCCAGCAGCACAAGCAGTGAGCATGCCGCGCTTGCAGCCGCGAGCCCCGCACCTTCCCCAGCCTGCGAGGAAGCGCCGCCGGTCCACGGCCCTCCGGCACGGCATCCTTTCGGACCAAGGGGCCGGCAGCTCCGAGAAGCCTTCGCCAGCTTAGACGCTTACGATGCCTGCGCCGTGCTGCGCCAGCCTTGCCGCACCTTCCGGATGCCTCCACCTTTTCTCAAAGGGCCTCTCCGACAAGCCATCGCCGGCCATCCGAGCCCTTTGCCCCGCTTGATTCCAACATCTTGCAGTGGTCACCCGAAACGCCCCTTACACTGCCCCGCGGGCCACCATCATCTCTAACTTGCGGCGTGCCGCCCCCGGGCCGTCGGGCTACACCGCCGATATCATGCGTGCTTTGCTCGACGACGCTGCCGGCGTCGAATCCCTCCATGGTGTCGCCGAACTCCTTGCTCGAGCCGAGCTGCCAGCCTCTGCGGCCTCAGCGCTCGGTCTGGGGCGCCTTGTCGCGTTGAGCAAGCCCACCGGCGGCCGGCGTTCGAGGCATTGTTGTTGGCGACTTCCTACGGAGGTTGGTTGCGCACTCCCTGGCACAGCAGTTTGCCCCCACATTCGAGGCTGCCACCAACCCCCACCAGTATGCCCTCTCCACCCGTGCCGGCTCAGAAGCACTCGTGCACTCCTTGCAGGCCGCTTGCGACGGCGACCCCTCGCTCACCGTGCTCTCCGTCCACGGGGTCGGGGCCTTCGACTTGATCAGCAGGCAAGCCATGCTCACAGCCTTTCGTAACGCGTCCAACGCCAATGCCATCCTGCCATTCGTAAGGCTGTTCCACGGCTCGCCCTCCGAGTTCGTATGGACTGACTCTGCCAGCAACCCCCACCGCGTTTTGCAGGCCGAAGGCGGTGAGCAGGGTGATCTGCTCATGCCGGCCCTCTTCGCGCTCGGCTCGGCGTTGCGCCCGCCTTGCGTGCTGTGCAAGCCGACCTCCTCCCCCAGGAGAGCGTGCGTGCATTCCTCGACGACACCTACGTCAGCGGCTGGAGCACCACTTGTTTGCCCAAGCACACATCCAGCTTAATGCCGCCAAAACTCGTGTGTGGAATGCAGCCGGCGTTCGCCCGGCTGGGCTCCCCCTGCCACCTCACCCGGCGCCCGACCACGCACAGATCTGGGTCGGCGACACTGGCTTGCCCGCATACCAACAAGGCCTCAAGGTCCTCGGGACCCCGCTCGGTACAGATGAGTTCGTTGCTGCGCAGCTCCACACTCTTTCCGCACAGCACCGCGCTCTCCTCGAGCTTCTCCCCACACTTCCCGACCTCCAAGTCGCCTGGTTGTTGCTCCTGTACTGTGCCAGCCCGCGTGCACAGTACATGCTCCGTGCCGTCCCGCCTGCTCTCACTGGTGTCTTCGCGGCCGAGCACGACCGCAGCGTGCTGCATTGCCTGGCCCTGCTGCCGCATGTCCGTGCTGCCCCGGATGACCCGCTGCCCGGTTTTGCCATCCGAAGGGCCCACTTGCCTCTTCGCCACGGGGGTCTCGGCCTGCGCAGCGCTGTGGCGCATGCTCCGCGCCATCAGGGCCCGCGAGAGCGACTTCTGCGACCAGCTCTTGCAACAACTCGCAGGTCCCGCATGCCACATTCGTTGCCTCGCGTCGCTCCAAGGTGCTGCAGTCGTCCGGACCAACCATGGTCTCACTGTGCCGGCGTAGGGTGAGCTTCTCGCTGCCCCGCCACCTGAGGCCGACGCCGACCCCGCACTGCACGAGCCAGCCGACCTCGCGCGTGGTTGGCAACGAACCGCTTCCAGGGCTGTTGACGACGCTTTCCTTGCAGATCTCACATCTGCGCTTGATGAGGCGAGCATTGCATTGCTCCACTCCCAGGGCGGTCCCTTCGCCGGCTGTGTTTACACCGCCCTCCCTAGGTGCCCGGAGCTGCGCCTTGATTCAGCGGGTTACTGCTCCGGCGTCTGCGCCTTCCACTGCCTCTCGATGCTGCGGCCTGCCGTTGTGGCACTCATCTTGGTTCACTCGGCGATCACCGTGCAGCCTGCCCGCGTGCTGGACTCCTCCGCGGTCGCGGTATTCCCTTGGAGCGGGCCGCCGCACGCATCTGCAGAGAGGCCGGGGCTACTGTCGCAGCCAATGTCTTCCTTCGCGACCTCAACATAGCCACCCAGAGGCATGATGACCGGCGCATCGAGGTTATCGCCAACGGGCTACCCCTCTGGGGCGGCGTCCAGCTCGCCGTCGACACTACCCTCGTTTCGGCTCTCGATGCGCGGGGCCGCCCGCGGCGACACGGTGCGGCCTTGCGCATTGCGCGCGCCAGCAAAGAGCGCACCTACCCTGAGCTGTTGCGCGCCCCGCGGTGCCGCCTCGTCGTGCATGCCATCGAGGTCGCTGGACGCTGGAGCGCTGAGGCCGTCCAGTTCGTGCGACTCCTCTCCCGCAGCCGGGCGCGCTCCGCACCCCCCCACCTGCGTGCCAGCAGCACCGCAGCGTGGGTGCAGCGACGGTCTGGGTTTCTCGCTTTTGCCGCTGCCAGATCCTTTGCAGCCTCACATGGCTCGCCCCCTGACCTCAGCGACGTGCTCGAGCACCGGCTACACAGCCGGCCACATCCCAGTCGCGTGCCCGCACGATGATCCTCGTCGTCGTAGTTTGCAGTGTGCACAGGGACCGGACCGTTGCTTTCGTGCTGTCGCAAAAAGGTGTGTGGAAAAAGAAAGCTAGAGAAGCTAGTGCAGCTGGGGAGAAAGATTGGACTCGCACTGTCAGCAGACGTTTCTTCGCAGGCGTGCCATCGGGTCGCTGCGGCCCCGCCTGAGCTCGGAGATGGCCCCCGACCTGCAGTAGCTCCTTGCCGACCGCGGTGGTGCTCTGCCTAGTTCTCCGACTGCGCGCGGCCCCCGCCCCGTAGGCCGCAGTTGCACTGGAACCTTCCTCGCGGACACGCCTGTGTTGAATTCAAAATCCAGCCGCTTACATGGTCAACACCATGCGTGACGCACAGGTGGTTCTGAGTCGACTTCTTCCCTGTGGGCCGCAACTCTCCGTGCGGCCGCAACCCAGTGAGGTGGACAGCGACCTGAACATTGGACGTTTTTGGGCAGGCGCAAAAAGGCGTAAGGAAAAAAACACGATTCAACCGGCGATGTGATCACGTTGGCAGCAGGTACAGAAACCTCCTGGGAGAGAAGCCAAACAGCAGAAGGTCAATCCACTCCGGCGGCAAAGGATGACAATTTCAGAGTGTGATTTTCGCACTTGTTGGGGAGGCAGTGGAGAGTTGAAGTGGCCTGGAGAAGCCCATGCGCAAGAACTTCGTGGAAACGGGGTCTATGTATGACGGCTTCAGGAGGTGGCTGTGCCGCAATGGTTGCCGAACTATGGTATCGCTGGGTTTGGTGAGGACGCGCATTGCCAATGTGGTCCGCACAATCTTTCATCTTTTCCGTTTTGTGTTTTCTTCCCTTTGCTGATGTGACCCTCGTTTCGCCTCTCACGCGCGATGGCGAACCTCACCCCGGCGTGGCTGCACAAAATGACGCGAGAATGCCACCTCCGCGAGATCGGTGCGAGCATCAAGTTGTTAGAGGGTCAATTATCCCCCTGAGTCAAATAGAAGTTTCGACCACAAGCGCGACAAGGCCTCCCCGGGTGCCCGACTGCCCCGCATCGTCACTCTCTCGCAGCAATCGGAGGCTTCCCACCCTGAACGTGCTGGACCTCCTTGACGAGCTCCGCCATCCCGTGCCGACGTTGCAAACAGTGCCCGTATTTGTGCAACTTGCGTGGGCCGGGCGCTTGCATGCAGCCTGCGACACCTCCGGGATGTCCACAGTCGACCGCCCGATTCGCGGCCCCGCGGTGGGTTGACTTGCCCCAACACGGACCTGCAGCAGCCGCTGACGAGGCTGACCCCGATGTCCCTCACCGCGGCTGGCAGCGCCCCGCTTCTCGCGCTCTCGATGGCCGTGCTGGTGCTGCTGCTGCTGCTGCTGCTGCTGCTGCTGCTGCTGAGCATCGCCGTACTGTCGGTCCTGCCGAGCTCGCACTCCTTGACCTTCAAGCCGGCCGTTTCGCTGCCCGGGTGTTCACTGTCCAGCCCACTGCGCCTGAGCTCATCCTTGACTCTGCAGTCTTTCGGGTCTTGGTCCTTCGTCGTTTGCGGCTTCCGTTCCGGAGGCCGCTCGATGTCTTGGGTGACCACGTCGCTGCCTGTCCTCGGTCTGGTGTTCTTCGGGCACGGGGCGGTCCGCTCGAGCGTGCAGCGGCTCGGGTTTGCCGTGAGGCTGGCGCTACAGTTGCCACCAACGTCCTTGTCCGAGATCTGAACTTCGATGCCTCCAGACATGACGAGCGTCGCATTGCATGAGGTCATCGCCAATGGATTGCCGTTGTGGGGTGGTTCCCAATTTGCTGTTGACACCACGTTGGTGTCGAAACTAACTTCTGCCGGTGTGCCCCGTCGCCGTCGTGGCGGCACTGCAGGCGCTGCCTTGGTTGATGCCCGCAGGGCCAAAAGAAGCGCACTTACCCTGAGTTCGCTGGGGCCCATCGGTGCCGACTGGTTGTCCTTGGCCTCGAGGTTGGGGGTCGCTGGATTGCAGAGGCAGCCACGTTCATCCGTTTGCTTGCAAGGGCACGCTCTCGAAGCGCTGCTCCCTGCAGCGGGCAGCATGCATTGCGGCTGTTGTCGCAAGGTGGTCTGAGTTTCTCTCTGTCGCAGCTGCGCGTTCCTTCGCAGCCAGCTTGCTGTCCTTTCCCATCTCCAACACTACCAACCTTTTTTTCTACAACACACCTTTTTGCAACCATCCACGCGGTCCCAGTGCAGCAGGAGCTCCAGCGGTGAGCTCATTAGGCAAGGCGGGAAACGAGAGGAGGCGGCTGTGAGGAATCAGCGAGGACGTCGCTGAGCAAGGGTGGTTCGCCGTCAACAACCTTGACGGCGAGCCGCCTCTCCTGAGTGACGTCCTCGCAGACTCGTCGGAGGTGCCGCCACATGCTTCCCGCCTGTCGTAAGCTTCGGCTAGGTTAGGCGGGGTGGGGTCTTCTCCTCGACCAGGTTGCGCCCGGCAGTCTGCTGCACTGGGACCGCGATCGGATGTTTGCAAAATGGTCCTTGAAAAAAAAGCGGCTCCGCATCCTTCTCCGATGCGACTGCAGCAGTATACAGTATACCACCAGGAGCTATGGCCCGCGCTCCTTGCGGCCGTGCGCGTGGCACGCGCACTCCGCTCAGACCAGCGGTCGACCTTGATACGGAAGCTGCTTCTTGCAAGCATGCACGCAGAGGCGAGCTTTCCGCAGAGTTCCGTGTACTTCTCCTCCGGCGCCTGCGCTTAGCGCTGCCGCTCGCGCCCCGGCTCTGCGCTTGCTCTGCTTGACCCGCTCGGTGACCACCGCGCAGCCTGTGCGACCTCCGGGGCCCTTGCTTCACGCGCCCTCCCGCTTGAGCGAGCCGGCGCTCGGGTCTGCCAAGAGGCCGGCGCTCGCGTCGCCCGCAACATGCGCCTTGCAGACATGAACCTCCCCACCACTGTGCCCGACGCGCGCCGGATAGAGATCGTCTGCAACGGCCTGCCTTTTTGGCATGGGGCTCAGCTTGCAGTCGTCACCACCTGCATCAGCCCAGTCACTCGCACCGGCGAGCCGCGACCAGAGCAAATAGTCAGCCCGGCCTCGCCCTACAGCATGCCACGAGGCGCAAGCGACGCGACACGTACTCCGAGCTTGCGCGCTCGCCATGCTGCCACCTCGTTCGTGGTGTTCGCTGTCGAGGTGGCGGCCGTTGGGGCCCCGGGCCCACAACCTTCCTGAGGCTCCTTGCGCGCGGGCGCGAGTTGGGCGTGCGCACGCTGCCGTTCGGTCGGCTCTGCGTGCGGCCTATGTGTCTCGCTGGAGCAGCATCATCGCCGTCACAGCGCAGAGGGCCCTCGCCGGCTTGTTGCTAGATGTTGCTAGAGCTCCCTCTCGACACCGTCGCCTCTGCTGCCGGCGAGCCGGCTGTGCATGCTGTGCATGAGGTCCTGCAGGACGAACGCTGGCTGCACGCTCCTGCCCCGAGCCGGCTCCTGCTGCGGACCACGTAGACTGCAGGTGCACTGGGATGGTGCACTGGGATCGCACTTGTACTGGTCACACATAGTGTGCGTGGAAAGAAGGACGTTGGTATCACCTTCCCGTCGCGGTCCAGCTTGCCGTCGCCTGCGCAGCCTTGGTCCGCGCATGTCCGCGCCTGTCCCGCTGCTCCACTGCTGGGCCCGAGTGACGGCCCAGCGCTGGACCGCATCCTTGACCGACAGGGGGCCCAGCTGCGGGGTGACTAAGTCGTACTGGTAGTAAGACCTGTGTAGCAGAGGCATGTGCTTGCAGGCGCAAGGAAAAAGGATGTCCTCCGGCCTCGTGCAGGCGGCCTTGGCGCGCCATTGTTCTTCTTTTTATTTGGTTCCAGGCATCTGCCTTTGTAATGGTCACAGCCAGCTCCAAAATCAAACCGGTGAGGTGGGAGGCAGAGGCAGAGGCAGAGGCACAGGACGAAGAAGAAGTCCACCTAGGTAGCGAGCATTACAGGTGTAGACATTGACGGTCTTTGTGGGGGCAGCGGGTTTGCCTTTATACTTGCCTTTGACCCCACGGCGCTTGGGCCTCCATCATGGCATTCCGATGCCATCCTGGGTCGCATCTTTCCTTTGGTTTTG